AAGGAGGGGCCTCACCACCGCCTCTTTCAAGGCCGTGGGGAAGACGCCCTCCCCCAAAGAAGCGTTTATAATTCCCTGGAGCCAGGCTCGTGTCCCCTCCCGGGCAGCCAGTACCAGCCAGGAGGGGCACGGATCCAGTAAGCATGTGGTTGCATTCAGCCTCCCCAGAATCCTGTCCACGTCCTCGGGAGCCACAGAGAGAATTCAGACCTTCCCAGAGGCATAAGCTCTTTATAGCCATATTGTGATTCAGTTTCATTTATTAACCATTATGTTCTATTGTATTAATAAAATGTATTAATATATTGCTTCATGAAAAGAATTAATATTCATTGATCCAGGTTGTAATTTTTGTAACTCATTGGAAGAGTTTTGCTTTGGCTTCAGTACTGTTGTTTTTGACAAATGGAATAGGGCTGTGATAGCGAACCTATGGCATGTGTGCCACAGGTGGCATGCAGAGCCCTCTCTGTGGGCATGCGCGACGTCGCCCCAGTCCTAGGCCTTCTGCTGGGTTTTATAAAACCTTTTCGCTTTAGGCCTCCACTGTCATGTGCAAAAAAAAAAAAAGGTTCAATCAATCAATTTCAACTTTTCACAGGAAAAAAAAAGATCTTGCAAAGTTGGAATTGATTGATTGAACTTTTTAGTCCCACCCAATCTGCCGTTAGCACTGCAGCTATGCCCGCCCAATGGGCCATGACCACCTGGCACCCAAATATACAGACTTGGGTTTTGGGTTGCAGTTTGGGCACTCGGTCTCTAAAAGGTTCGCCATCACTGGAATAGGGCATTGTTTCTCCCCCCCTCTCTCTCCCTCCCTCCCTCCTTCCCTCCCTCTCATGCTGGTTTGAATCAAAAGGTCCATATGCATGGAGAAACAAAATAGCTCATTGAATAAGGAAAGTACAACACAGAATGAGTACACTTCACTGGGCTATATAACAATTATGCAAAATATTGTATAAGAAATGGTAGAATTTCTATATATTTTGAAAGCTCATGTTAATCACACCCAGCCCTGAAAGCAAAAAAGATGAAATGTATTTACTGAACTTCCTAAATACATTAGTAATATTATTAATTAACACAGCAACAGTTGATTGTTCAATTCATAAATCAAATTTCCAATGTCAATGTTTAGAAGCTGCATTGTATATTATTCTTAGTACGGTAGTTCATACCTAGGACTTCTCTGTAAGAACCTCCCCTAAACAAGAAGAAAAAAACAATCTTTTATAATTGATCTCTTCATGTTTGAAAGAATGAAACTATTTGAGGTGCATGATTAATTAAAGTCACTGTATAATTGTGATGGGACCATATTTTAAGACATCTTAAGAACTGCCTGCCTGCCTGTCTATGTAATCTGTTCCTCCAGCATTCGCAGAAAGGGAAGGTTGGAGATTGGTCAAAAGTTATTGAAAACTATTGGGTGCACTGCAGGCTTTTTGAAGGCTGGGGACACAATCTCTTTATCAAAGAGGTTGACACTACAATGAGGACCTAGTTGTGGATCACCTCCTTTTCACGGCCTAGAGGAACCCAGAAGGAGTAAACAGATAGCTAAATTAATACACAAAGAGTCTTGTCTACTTCCTCAAGTCAGCAGGTAAAACACATTACCAGATCACGTTACTAGATCATGCCCCAGGTACTCAGCCTGCCTGCTCAATCAGAGTCCAAGATTCAGAAAAAGGAAAGAGGAAGAGATTTCAAAAGAGTACTGTAAACTGTGTAGTATACCTGCAGCTCCAAGTCCCAGGCTCCTTCACCATTATATTGCTTTCAGTGTGTGGAAGAGCAAACAACTTACTCTCCTGCAATCCCTTTCTCTCCAATCTCTCTGTTCTAAGAGAAGGTGATAAATTGGCAATAAAGTTATTTTCTCAGCACTTTTGTAACTTTGGTCACTGAACAAATATTCAGGAAGTAAGGACAACCTGCTGTGACCAAAAAATAGTTTACTTAATGGTTTGGATCATCTTGAAGGACAGTGAGATCATCAGGGTTTACCTAACTGAGAGATTCTAATGCTTTGGAAGTGCAGTATTGGGCAATCTACTAATTTTATTTTGGGGGTGGGGGAATATACTATATGTTTAATATTTAAAAGATCCTATGTTACACTCTTAAACAGTATGTGCTGACCCACCTATTTGGCCTACAGAAGAATTACTTGTTTCTTGATTGTTTTGGGAATAGTTCTTTTTCACTTTTAAATCCATAATATTTTAAGACTGTATTGGACAGTATAATACAGCAATTTTAAAATAGTAATGTTGATTTTAATATTTGTATTTCTTTTAGAATCTGTGTTTGTGGATACCCTCGCCAGCAAGTAAGAAAATATAGAGGCATAAACAGCAGAATTCCAGTCTCCTCTGAATTCATGGTGCAAATGTTAACAGGGATTTATTATGCTTTGTAAGTTCAGTAACTATATCTTGTATATACATGTATAGTGATTTTTAGAGCAGATTGTATATAATACAAAATGGAATGGTTATTTACATGATAGGAGAGGCAGAATTCAGAGCTTTCACAATTGACATTGTAAAGGTAAGAACTTTTCAGCATTCTTGCTATTGTTTTTATAAACTGTCCAAACTGTCCTTGAATGACAATCGACAGTTGATTTTGGCCCCACAAAATGAAAAAGAAATCTGCTTATCATTTCTGTTAAATAAAACCAAAGCAGACAAGTAGTTTCATGAGGAAAACTGCAAAATCTATACTAATCTTTAGGACTAATCAGATGCTTAAAAATATTCTTTAGTATCTGAAAAATTATCCTTCCTTTCCCAAAATGCTAGTTTCACATGGGGCAATGGTAGCAATGGAGATGGCAGCAAACCACAATAGATACATGAAGTGATTAAATATCCTATGCCCACAAGCTGGTGATTATGAAATTATTACAGATAGTTCTTATTTAACAACCATTGACCATTTGAAGTTATGGTAGTGCTAAAAGAATGATTCTTTATGCCTAGTCCCTGAAATAATGGCCCCCATGGTTACGTAACCAAAATTTGAGTGATTGGCAGCTCGCTTATACTTATGACCATAGTGGTGCTCAACACCCACCTACCTCCCAATTCTTAGCCAGGACTAACTGTATCTAAATTAATATTGGGTGAAAGGAAAAGTTAAATATTAAATGTTAAAAACATATATGCTAAATATGCCAAATCTTGAATTTAATGTAATCCTATGGAATTTGTGATGTTCCTAAGTGTCCAAATTTCTCTTGTAGATAGCATTCTGTTTGTAAATTATCTAATCTAAGCTTTTAATTAGTAATTTTAGTGAAATCCTGATGGTTAACATGTTACTATTTTCCAGGACTGTTGGGAAACTATATTGAAAGGCAAATTTTCATTCTGGTACAAAAATAGTCATAACAAAAACATTCTGATTTAGATACAGCAAATATTTGTATCTTAACAATAGCAGATCCTTATAACTGCTTTCTAGTAGTGATTTGGAGGAGATATTAATTTTTTCCCATGCACAAATTTTATCAATGTAGTCTGATCACTAATGCTTCCATAGAGAATATATATATATCTGTCTGCCTATCTGTCTATGTCATGTGTGTGTGTGTGTGTGTGTAGATGTAGAGAAAGAGTTAAAGTATAATATCCATATATAACAAATCATTTAGTAATTTCATACTAACAGATTGAAAATGTTAGAGATTTCAGTTACATCAATGCTTTGTCCCATCTCATTTGACACTTGGTACTGTATAGGTACAAGAAAGATTAATCTTTCTGGAAGGTTTTAGGACTTACACTGTTTGGCATATGGCTTGAAAAAGAGTAACTTATAAGTCCATTCATTGAATTCATGACCACCTTGAAATACAGACCAAGAGTGAATGTTGAATGGGTGGAATTTCATTATGCATGTTGCAATACATTTTCAGGCTTTCTTCTGGTTTCAGTAGAGTTGCAGCATTTTTTTCTTTTTTCTTTTTTCCTGTATTATTATACTTATGACTTGCACTACTGCTCTTTGCTAATAATCTCAGGAAACAAAGCTACTGAATTTCAGTAGTATGGTTAGGGAGGCTCTTGGGCATTAAAAAAATAGGGTATGGAACAACAAATCATTGAGATCTGACTTGTTTATAAAAAAGTACTATGAAACATCATATCCTTGTTCTATCATACTGAACCATTTTGAATTCATGGTGGATATGAATGTTATAACAAAAGATATAAAGAATCAATTGCCAATCTGATTTTCCAAAATACTATAACAGTTGCAATATATATTTCTTACCTAACATTACAGAAGGGAACAAAATAAGATGACCTAGACATAGTCAGATGGATAGAAGTAAAGTATATTCCATAATCATTGAAATATTTCTCAATATTACTAATTTTTCTTGAATGTATAATTTTTGAATTTTTAATATTATAAACCATTTACTAAATATCTGTTCATGACTAATATGCATGGCTATGATAATGAAAGAATAATCATACTATATAATAGCATGCGGTCAGTTTTCATTTTTTTGGCTTAACATTCTAGTTATAATGGAGAATGGGATCTGGCTCGCAAAGCAATGGATGATGTTTTATACAGAGCACAATTGGAGTTATATCCAGAACCTCTATTGGTAGGTGTTTTATGTCAAATTTATTCTTTACAATCAGGTTTTTAAATTTATTTTGAAAATGTTTGCATTTTTAACTTACATAATTGAAGTAACTTACAGAAACATAAAATGTTTAAGTGATCATCATCATCATCCCATCTCATCATCAAATCTTTATTTGGTCACAGACAAGCTATAATGCTTAAAATAATTTAAAACAAAGTAAACTTTCTGAAAATCACGTTCTCATGGACTGCGCAATCGTCCTAACATTCTATAACAAAAAACAAAAACAGATTATTGATACGTTGAATTATTTTTGTAATAAATAAAATAGTTATGTAGTGGAAAAACACAAGAACTAAATTGATATTCTAAGATTGTGGAGTTTTGTAATAGATGTCACTACCAGACTATCTGTTTCTTGACTTGTTTTATCACCACCAGATAATTTAATTAATCACAATGTGTAAAGTACTTTTCCTAAAGATTTCAGTGGACAGATAAAATTGATTATATGGTTTGAAAATTGACTTCATTGCATTGAAAATTGATTAGAACATTTTGTTGATAAGCTAAATAGTAAAGTAAGTTGTGATACCCAGTGATTGGGGTTTAGGTATTATAATTCCCCTTTTTAACAAAAGTACAAGAAATAAGCTTGAGATTTACAGTCCAATCAATGTGTTGAGCATTAAGAGCAAACTCTGTGCCAGGCACTCTGCATGGAACTTTCAGAATACAAGTGTGACAGTTTTAGATGAAGAGCAAATAGTGTTTAGGGCGTTCCCAATAGATTAGCAAGATTGTGAAAAAAAACTAATAAACAAATAGAACTTGGTGTTGGCATCCTCTCTTTGTGATGCATTCTTGGATTTTAGAAATGCTGTTGACTCTACAGCTAATTCTTGATTCACAGCCACAATTGAGCCCAACATTTCTGTTAATAAACAAAGCAGTGTTTAAATATTTTTTCTCTCCATTTTATGACCTTTTTGTCACAATTGTTAAGCAAATCATTGTAGTTATTAAGTGAATCCTGCGGTCTTAGAATGAACCTGGCATCCCCCATTGACATTGCTTTCTAGAAGTTGATTGGAAAGGTCAAAAATGGTGATCACATGACCCCGGGACAGTGCAACTGTCATAAATACATGCCAGTTGCCAAGTTGTAAGTGTGAGAACTAGTCATAAGTTACTTTTTCCAGTGCTGTTGTAACTTTGAATGGTTACTAAACAAATAGTTGTAAGTTCAGGAGACAGAGACAAATTTGGGAAAAACAGGTATACTGACATTGATAAATGGCTTTTTCATTTATCAGCACATTAGCACCTGTGTAAGAGTTAGATGTAATGTGAATGGGACAGATTGCAATACCAATGCAAAAAGATTGTAAAACAAGATTATATTTTAGCATTTTACTTTTCAATCTTAGTTCAAACTCTAGAGACAGTGGAGCACCACCACTTAAAGTAGCTGATTTAAACATTCCAATATTATTGTATGCAACTGTGGTGTTGCTCTCAATAATGTTTTTTATTTTAGGAAGGATTTGAGGGCATAAGCCCATCATTTTAGTGAATAACGCTTAGAGGTAAATTATCAAAAGAGTGCCATAAAGGCAAAATCAGCTTTTGTATGATACAGAATTGGGCCCTTATTGTAATTACAGAGTGCTGCAATTTAGATTTCTCACAGCAATTTTGGATTTCTAAAATATGTGCATCAAAGAAAACTTCATGATTAGTGTCTTGAATGTTGAAAGTTGAAAACAAAGCCTGGCTTACATTTAGCAAGTATTGGCCAAAAATAATTTTGTCTGGGTTAATCTAATTTTTCATCTAATGTTAAATCTGTATACTGTGGCCTTTCCTGGTGCTACGAGTAAGCATCAATATCTGTAAGGCAATAATGTGAGGATAATAGTTTTCAGCAACATGTTGCCTTCTTATGGTGATGGATTCTGAAATTGAGTCATTTGCATAGAGGAAACCTGTTTTGTATCTTCTGTTTGACATTACATAAACAAAGGAGAGTACCTATGAGAGCATATTTTGATATGTTACAGTTCTGCAGGCAGATATAGTCATATTCAACAGTGTCTTTGCCCTTGTGGCTCATGAAAATGTTTTTATATTGCAATTTTTATAGACATAGTTTAAGTGCATAATTTCAATTTTATAAAAATTCCCAGGTTGTTCAGGCCTGTGTTATTGTTTTATATTTGTAACAGATAATTGAAGCATGTTTTTCTTTTTTTTAACTTTCAAGTCCGTTTTAACTCTTTGCAATTGTCTGGACAAATTCATGCAGTTTTCTTGACAACCTTTTCAGAAACAGTTTGCCATTGCTTTCTTCCTAAGGCTGAGAGAACATAACTGGTTTAAAGCTACCTGGTGGTTTCACCTATGCCTAAAGCAGGACTGGATTCATGCTTCAGAGTGCAATGAGCATGAACACAGCAGGTGTCCTGCAACTTAAAACTATTTTTTCCAATGCCCTAAAGACAGGTGTCGATGGTATTGTGTTCATATCATTGTTTTGCATAGTCCAGAGCACATTTTTGTCTTCAGAATAGAGGCTTTGCACAGCCCTACTGTATATATCTGCAACATTAGATTAATCGGAAGTCATAAATATTTTGTGCTACAGAGAACAGCAATTTTTAGCAGGATCATTGGGAGCTAAGAGGAAGTCTCACTAGTGAGAAACCAACAGTCTATTTCTACTAGATTGTTCATCAAGTAACTGGCAGAAAATGCTTTTCTGGATTTCATGCAGACACACATTATTTTTCTTAGTTTCAAAGATTTCAGCTACTGAAAGAATGATTGTACAGAGGAAATAAATTGTCATGGGGAAAAAAATGTACACTGTTTAGTGGGTGGCTTAAAAAAACCAAGATGAGAAAATGTAATCATTAATAGGATTTGGCAATAGCTTTTAAAGCAAATGTTTTCCGATTAAGTCTTTAATCATCTGAACTAAAGCGGTAATTGTGAACAGATGGAAGTCAAATTACTACCTCTCTTGATTTTTGTCATATCTGATGCAATTCTTGATGTATGATAAATATTGTTATAATTCAAAATCCAATGTTAACATGACAATCTCACCCACATTTTATTTAATTATTGTTATTTTCTTTAGGTAGCTAATGCAATAAAAGCTTCATTGCCTCAAGGTGCCATAAAATCTAACAAAGAAGGTACTAAATGTATTCAGGTTGAAATTACTCCTACAGCATCGAGGATATCAAGAAATGCTGTGACCAGCATGTCTATTCGGGGCCATAGATGGAAAAGACATGGTAAGAACTTTGGTTCTGAAAATATTAGTTATGCCATAACAAAAAATTGATATTCCAAAATTGAAATACCATGATTATCTAAAAATTGATATTCTTATTTATACCAAGAGATCACATACATATTAGTATAAAAAGGTTAATTAACTTTTATGTTATTTTATTTCTCTAATAAAAAGAGGTTTTATGTCTTCCTCGGTTTTCATTAGCATAAGGAACCAGGCAATGCTTATTTTACAGTTCACTATATATTATTTGTTGTCGATTAATGTTATACATTATATTAAAATTCTGGTTTAATATATCCATTGCACTTTTGAGCCCTCAATGCCTCATATCTAGAATTTGATCATTAGTAGGTATTTTAGCTTGAAATGCTGTATCTTCATAAAAAGTCAAATATTGCATTTTTTTCTAGAGAAAAAGGGTAACTTAAATGCCTTGTTTACCTAAAACACTATTCAGTTATAATTATTATAATTACATTGCCAAATTGTAATAATTCTTATTTTATTATAATAACAGTCTAGCACTTCTAGCACTGTGTAAGTAGTTTGGATAAGATATACTGCATACATTTATCACCCTCCCCAGAGTGTAAAGTATCTTGCTTTCATTACTTAAAACAGCATAATTAAAATTGTTATCAATATTTTGATTGCTAAAATAGATTTTTAGCATCTCCTCTACTCCTGTTGGACCATAAGACTTTCTCTAATTCTGTATTATATCATAATTTCAAATATATCATTGTTTAAAAGTAATTATTGACATGGTTGATTAATCATGTTATTTTTCTTAATCCAACATAAATTCCCTCAATTTTTTTTTATTACAGCAGCGGTGTTTATATACATATGCTGACATTAATGAAAGTTTTATACTGATTATTGTACAGTGCTTTTGTTCTTCATGTACTATGTCTTGTACATTACAGATATAGCAAACATAGCTGGAACTGCTAAGGTATTTCTGTCTTTTGATATACATTCAGCACTAGAGAATGGATTCGTAGACACAGTAATGATTTTGTGGCTTTTAAGGTTGGATGCAGAATAGTTCGTAATAGTAAATAAAAGTATTAGTTTATTTGAACGCAAAGAAGATATAATTTTCTAAATAAACTATAGCAGAGTCCTTTTCCTTTTCCTATATTTTTGATTAGTGGTAGGGCTAGTTGCTGTTTCTCTTTGATTCCCTGTTAGAACTTATAATGGGAATACTGATTTATTGCTTAAACTCCATAACTAACCTGTTCTTTTTTTTGGTTCAGCTAATGTAGTTTCCAATATTTTATATAAATATAAATATATTGGTAGTCCATAAAAGATACATATCTTGCACTTTTCAGACACTACTTTTCAATGTTACCTTTCCGCAGGAGTCATGCTTGATGATACAGGTGCTGAAGTTCAAGAGGCAATGGTTAGCACAAGTGTTTGCTGCAGCAGATAACAAACAATAAGGCATGAGCCTTGATAATATTAGTAAAGCCACTGACTACAATAAAGATGAACAGTTATTCTATTAAGAAGAAGGATAATTTGCAAGGTATGCAAGCATTGCTGCAGATCCTTAATTATCCAATATATTGGATGCTTTTCCCTTCAGGAAAAGAATTTCATAATGAGACAAAATGAAGATGAAATGAAGTACCATTTTGGCTCCTGATGGGAGAATCTGGGGGCTATTTTATAGATCAATTTTCTATGAAATTACTTTGATTTGTTACAAATACATGTAAGAGCTTCTACATACTTCTAATTACTTCTGCTGGAAAGGAGCTTGCATCCAACAGGTTATTATTAGAACCTGGCTTGTTAGGAGAACAAGTCTAGAGTTTTAGCTGGGTTAAATAAATATTGACTTGTTCAGTGTTCTGCTAGCAGAACAATAGTGGGAACAATAGAAAAATGTGCAGCAGGATATTTGTTTTATTATTGTATGAGTAAATTTTGAACACTGTTAAGTATCTGTGATATGTGAACCACAATATGAAAAGAAATGTAGAGACATCTTTTTTAAATGTTGGTTTATAATTCAGAAGAAAGTAACATTTTGCTTCAAGATAAACTATATTTTAAAAGAGATGTACTTTCATGTTTAGATTTGTTTTCCATATTTAGTATAATCATTTATTTATTAATGTGAAAAGGGTGGCATATTCTTGGTTTTTCAATATTGTTATCTCAGTTTTTGAAGTTGATTAGAATTTTGGATTATATATCCCTTAAGATCTGACTAAATAGACCTGATCACCACTGTTGCTGCTTAATCTGCTATGCAATTGTGAGACGGAATTATTCATTGAGATCCAGACAAAATGCCAAGAAATATCTTTAAGAAAATCATGACCTTGTGGAGAAATTATGTTTTAAGAAAATGGTATAGTTTTCTGCTATTTTCAGAAACATGTTTTATGGTCTGTCTTATTCAGAAGCATTGGTTCCTACTGATTATTCTTTAGTCAACTGGTTACATATAGGTCTATTTCAGAATTAGAATACTTGATATAGTGTTTATTTTTCCTTCTGGACTATAATAGAATAATATAATCTCTAGGAGGCTTAATTTTTCTGTATCTATTGTAAGTGTGGCTGAACATTCACATTATATTATAAGATAAATTAATGCACATGTTGGTAAGGACAAAATTAAACAGAACTCTTCAATTATCTAAAATTGATGCTTTGCCATTAAACTGTCGTACTGTGATACAAAGTAAAGATTGCAAGATGTGGAAATCAGACAAACTGTACCTAGATCACAAAAGTGTAGACTAATAATTTTTTTGTGATAAACAGTGGTAATACTGATTGGAATCATTAATCCCTCTTAAAAATGGTAGGTAATTTAATCAGTATTAATGTTAAAGCAAAGAAATGGGAAAAAAATTAAAAGAAAATTTGGAATAGCTTTCTTATTCATTATTTAATTCCAGTGGAACAGAGAATGAATGAATGTGTGATACATGCATCATAGGTAGAAAAACAAATTAAATATAAACACCATCTGTAAGTTAAATGCTATAATTAAAAAAAACAGGTAGATAATATTTTCCTTCTGCTATTTGGCATTCATAGGGCTTTTAAATTTTATTTCCAATGTGCAGCTTCAGCTATTTTGTAAATTATGGCTTATGCAGAATGCCTGAATTAGTACATGTACTGTATGTAACCTCACCATTGTTTTAAAGCAATTTTCACTTTGTGTGACATAGTTCAGTCATAGAAGAAGAAAAACATCTTTCCTGTCAATTTCATAACATTCTGCGAAAAAGAACGGAATTGAGAATTTGCAACAGAAAACCACAACCCGTTACAGGTAGACTTTTGTTCAGAGATAAACCAGGCTTTAATAGTGGTTTGATAGTGCAGGGAGGAAAGAGGGAATCAAAAGGAGAAAGGCATCCAGGAGGATTAGAAAGATGTTTTTATTTTGTTCCCTAAAACATCAGGCATTTGGAATGCTGTGTATCCATGTTTGGCCTATAATATAAAACAAAATTGGTGCGCTTCAGGTTCCATCATTATTAAATAGTGCTTTCTTGTGGGATAAGAGATCCAGAGAATAACAGCTTTGTTGTTTTTCAAAAAACTCTTGAAGATCTGACTTTTTGTTCAGGTTTTGGGCTACGATGGTGTATACTTGCTATATTTATATAAATAAATAAATGATAATAGGCAGACAAACAGCTTGATGTGCTATGCACTATATAACTTTTATTAAAAAATAGCACCATTGCTAAAGTTTGTGGGTATGGGACTTCTAATCAAAACTAGCTTAGAAACTTGGTGCAATACAGTATGTTAAAAGCACTTTTTATTTTCCAGTGGGCCTATTCTCATTGAAAGGCAATCAGGAATGTTTTGGAGATATCTGTCCTTATTTAATCAGCTAAATCCAGATTTGTAAAGATCTTCTGAAAAGTTCTTTATTCTTTCAACTGAATTCTGTAATAATATGTTAAATCATTATTTTTCCATTTGATAGGGTACTTACTTTGTAAAAATGCTTATGATGACTCAATACTTTTCACTTCCCTTTTCCTTTTCCTTTTAAAAGTGGTTTTGACTATGTTTATATAGCGTCTAAGCATACTTTTTTTAATTTGGCAGAGCATTCCATTTTTAAAAAGATTTATGTTCTTGCTACAGCATTCAGTTTATTAGAGTTTGCTTTGTTCCAAGCTTTAGCCAAACTCACTGCCCCATTTATTCCTCAGCTGTTTCAGTGAAACCATCCTATATACTCAACTATCTTTGGTTTGTTTTTACTTTTTTTCTTCTTCCCATGTCCTTTTATTTTATATAATGACATAGAAATCAATAAATCACAAGTACTTTTAAATGTTCACACATTTATTAGGGATGCACATTTGATTTTGTACCTTCATAAAGAGAAAACAAAATCCTTCTAAAGTAATCTGAATTGAGTTGGAAGTGTGATGCTTTGTGCTATGAAGCAATGTACAGAGGGCATTTGCAAAAAGAAAAAAGCAATGACTCTGTGCCCACTACATTTAATTTTTGTTTCATGTGAAAACCTTTGAGAGAGGAGAAGCAGGAAGGAAAGAGTAACAGAGATTTTCTTATAATATAATCTCTTTTATAGCTCCCTAGATGTTTCAGTTTGTATACCACCAAGAGTCCATTGGAGTTGGGTGGCTACTAAATTCAAAGGAAGGAAAAGGAAGGAGGGAGGTATGAACTTGAATCGCATTCTTTTTGTAGTAATCCATTTTGTCCCAAAACAAAACAAACTAAAGGCTCCATTCTAAACCTCTTTAAAGAAGTGAAAGAGTGCTATTCTCCAAAATTCGGTCACCTATAAGATTGGATAGATTTCATACCCTCAGTAGTGTCTATGGCTGTATATTTTTCTGTGAAAAGCTACAGCTATTTGTAGTTTTCCAGGGTAGTTACAGAAAATATGAGCATTTGAGGAACTGGTCTATTTCCTGAATTGCTAAATCAGGTCAAATCCAAATATCAGTCAGTGCTTATCATTTATTCTGAATATTTCAATTCAGTACATAAGTATACAACTGTGAGGTCATTGTAACTAGCCAAATGTGTGCTTAAAGTATCAGTCATCAAACACTCCAAAACAAGTGATTGTGAGTTGTAGATGCAAAATACATAGTCTTCATGAATTAGGGCAATTGTGATAAAGATATCTTGCTATTTATATTTCTTTTTCAATAGTACAATATTTCTATAAATCAAACTCAAGAACTTAGAGATCCGTAAAGAAAAATATTTTAATATGTAATATGTGTCCAAAAGACCTATTATTTACAATATTTTATACAATTTTATTGCTATTGTTTGCATTGGAAATTGTGCTGTCATTAGTTAAGCTACTGTGCAGATTTTATAATACAAGGATATGACTGTTAGAAATAACTTTTTAGAATTCATTGAATAAAAACAAAGTATTTTGTAAACTACTATAACATATTGATTTGATTTAAAGCATTCATTTGTTCAACCTACATTTTATTTTATTCATTTATTTGACATAGAAATAGAAAGGTAGAAGCAATATGTGATATAAAGTATGCAGCATTCACACTTTAGTTTTAATAAAGCCTTATTTGTCTTCCTTACTTCCCAGAGTATATACAGGCAATCCACAAAGAATTCTGGAAAATGGGAAGATTGAGTGCATTGTCTCCTCTCTGCTGTATGCTACTAGTGATAACAAGATAAATGATATGGATATTGGTCCTTGTGAGGAAGCATCACATTATGTAGTAGAACATAGACGGCAAGAAAGGGAGCTTTATCATCTGTTGGAATTCAGAAAGATAGAAATCCTTGAATTTTCAAAAAGAATATTTTTCTTTTATAATTTGAACCTGCATATTTTAGAAAATTGTCCTAGTGTAATAGTGTAAAAATAATTCAGAAGCAATGTTGAATATAACAAAATCACTGGTTTGGTTCTGAGATACTAATGTATATTTAACCAAGTAAAATATTCCTTATACTGTTAATGGATATATTTAAAAAGTAACTGTATGGTAAAAGTTAGTGTATTTATATATTGAGTTCCTTTAGTATGTAACAGGTACTTTTTTCAGTTGAGCTTGGCTCCAAAGAGTTCATTTTCAATTTTATAAATCGGTTACATCTATTTACTGCAACCTATCTATATTCCATCCCAATTTCAGAAACATTGTATGGCTTATAGTATCTCTAGACATAATGTAAGAATTCCCTTTACTAATGACAAGCCAGGAAATTAAACCTCTGACTTTGAAACCTTCAGGCTATTAGGTTTTCTGTCCAATTCGTGTCTTTTTGTTTGTCTCCATGGTTTTTGTTTCAGCCATCTTTTTTCTTTCTTTCTTTTTCTTTTTGTCTTATTCATCTTTAATTCTAGAGCAACCAGATAATACTAATGACACTACTGAGTCGGGCAACTTTGTTATACCCGAGATTAGTGTCACAAATGTGGCTGGAGAGAGAACCAGGAATGGGGAAAAAAACAGAATGCCAGGAGACAGTGATCAACATATTCAGGGTGTACAGGAAATTCCTACAGAACCTAGAGTTGACAGCAAAGGCTTGCCAGAGATCAGGAGGCAAAAATCTGTAAGAAAAATTATGGAGGATGGATTAAGCTCACCTGGCAGAATGCAATTTTAGCAGAGCACTTTATAGCTACATTCAAAAGGTATCAATTGAAAGGGTCATGGCTGCATGTTTGAGGATTTTAGTATTCAGTAATAGACATTTGCATGTACTTTTAGACAAACACAACTGCATGCTCTGCACATAGAGCTGATCTCTGTGCTCCACATATTACAGCATGCTGACAACAAATAGATTTATCTTAGCTTGGGAAACCACACTGAGAGATTTCAAATTGCATTAATACGTAACTTGGACTTTTCAGTTCTGAGTCATTCCAGCATTTTTATTTTACACATTTGAAATAACCCTGTCTTTCAAGTGTATATAAACAATATCAATTTATTTTAATATTTTCTCATTTGTTACATTATATGCTCCAGTGTGTTAGGTTTCCAGTTTCATCACCAAAATTTTAATTTTTTAGTACAGAATGTGACCATTCAGCCCTTACAATATAAAACACTACTGGATTTGCTAAAAATGTGAGCACCTGCAGGTGATGCCCTATTGGCTGGTCTGCTGTTCTGATTATCTATTTCCATGATTATTTTGCTATCTGTAGTACATAGATACCTTGATTATACCTGGGTTTATTCCTCTTTCTAGCTGTTCTAGATCTAACCTCTCCTGAATCTTGCATGAATAACAGGTGCTTTAAAAAAATCACCACACAATGAGATTGTAAGCATGCTTTTTGTTTCTTTATATTTTATTGTAATAAATTACATTCATATAATAGATGAGTTTCTTGTCTGCTCTTAAATCTTTTGTTTTGTGCTTGAATAGAAAGATCTATCAAGAACCAATGAAATATATAGATCGTTCTGTCTCCATGCAGGTAATGAATTAGGAATTCCAGAAGAAGAATTAATAGAAGTATCTGAAGTTGATGAAGGCTTTTACTCTAGAGCTACTTCTACTACAAGTCATTCTATTTCATCAAAAAATAGCAGCAACACCAGTAATAAAACAGTAATGAGCAAGAGTCAACGAAGGCCTGGAGGAAACAAAGCTGGAGGAAAAGAAAAAGATATGAGTGTTGAATCCTACAAAGAACATTTATCTCACAAGCAAAATCAGCGGGCACTCAGTGAAAATCTAGAACTTCTCTCTTTAAAAAGGCTGACCCTAACTAGCAGCCAGTCCTTGCCAAAATCAGGGAGTCATAGCTTGGCTAGAACTAGCACTACTCTTTTTAGTAAATCCTTTGAGCAAGTCTGTGGTGGTGTGATCCCAAGTAATCATAATGGCACAGAAACAAATAGGCTTTCAGTGTGCAGTTTGCAAGAAGGGAATCTGATATTTGAAACTGAAAGAATAGATCTTATGGTTTCAAACAAACAGTCTAATCAGCAGCGACTACCTACTATCAGCATTACTGTCTCAACAGACCAATAATCACCTAACTAATGTTGCTGAGTAGAAAAGAGGTCATTCAATGATGATACCACATTTTAGGATCTTTCAAGCTCTTTTTTAGTCAACTAAATTGCTTCAAGTTACTTTTGTTTTACAATAGTAAAACCTAAATTATTTCAATCATTAAATGTTAAAATGGAATAGAATGGATCATTCAGTAAATACTTTACAGTATTGATATTTTAATATGTGGGAAAATTTAGGAATTCATTTGCTCAGCAGATAAGTTCTATTGGAAAATGATTCTGTGATATTCCTCTATCAGATGAAATCTTTAATATCATTGTGCTGTTTCTGGATGCTGAACTTTTATTTCAGTCATTATTAGATGTGGCCTAGAATTGGCTTGCCAATTCCATTCTTAAAAGCAAGAACCTTCTTCCTTTGGCACACTGAAAAAGGTTATAGTTTAAGTAGCCGCTGATATTTGAAAAACAATATTCAGATCTATGTACACAATCTGTTATCGATAAAAAATTAATGTGTCATTATTGTGCCAATACTGAACAATGTGTGTTCAAGCCACTATTTTCAAATTTTCAACTTTTAAAATAGCTACGGTATTCCAGTATACACAAATCTTTTCTGCCTTCAATAACAGCAATGAATATTTTACAGTATACAGCATGCACATATGTTATTATTTTCTAATATCATGAAGAAAATAATATTTTTTTTACCTTTCCACCATCCCAGCCCTAGACTGTTAATACTTTGTGCTGGCCTATCTTGATTTGATTGATCCAGCTGCCAAGATATATTTGCTGTTGCATTTAAACCATCACTAAAATGGGTGTAATTCAGTGTTTGTATAATTTTATGTTTACAGGCAGTAGTGGTATTGTAAAACAGTGTTTTGGGCTTAGAATATACAGTAGGTCTTGGCATAGGTCTAAAATACAGTGCACAAAGAGATCAGTTGGAAGAGGAGAAAGTTATTCACCTTCTTTTCATTTGGAATGGGCTACAGTTCTACTTTTATAATGCCAGTGAATTCAAGATGATTAAGGTGACACTTATTTTCTGGCATTAGGGTCTGTAACTCAAACCCAGGAATCAATACTGAATCTATTTTCTTCTCAAGTTGAACAGAGATATTCATCTAAAATACTTTAGCATTTTTAAGTGGAAGAGTAGTGTGGATTAGAAATATTTTTGAGTTTGCTCCTTACTTTCATTAAACTGGTTTTAAAATTGCATCACATTAAATCATAAGCTTTACACTGTATGGGAAATAGTTATTATGATAACAGATGATACAATATTTTGGAAGGAAAAGATTTAGTTTTGTCTTCTAAAAATACAATCTGGCATTTTTATTTTTGCACAGCCATATTGATAATTTCCCCAAATTTACACCCTCCTTCCCCTCTGATTTCAGCTAATTAATTAATTTATAACAACTTTACAGGGGATTAAAGAATGTATATGAACATTGGCATCACATTCTAGTGCTTCCTACATGTTCATGAATCTTTGAATCCTCGTGCAAGAATAACACGGCTTATTTTTATTCCTCCCCCCCACTGCTTTTTGCAGTGTTGCTTTTCAACCAAAACACTTTCTAATAAAGATTTTATATTTGTTTTTAAGCAAGAAGCAGCTTGATAGTTTTTATATTAACTGTACCATATAGTTAGAAATTCTATTTGTATTCAAAGAGAGACTTTTCAATTTCCAGAGACCCAATTTTTTAATAAATAGTAGGAGCTTTTTTTTGCAATTCTTTGTAATTTACATTTTTTGGAACTCTTTCCGTTTTCTGAAATATCTGAAATTTAAAATGGACAAAACCTAACTAATTTTAATTTAATTTTATGAAATTTCTGAGATGCTTATTATAACAGTATTAATAGGCTTTATCCTTACATAATTTTGTACGTATTTTATGGTTTACTAGTATTGTATTAAACATTGATTTTGAAGAATTAGTTTCTGTGCAGGAATATACAGCCATTACTGATGAAAGCTATTTGAATTTATTTTACAGTTCATTATTTAAAATTCCACAAGATGGAATTAAAGTATTTATAGTACTAAAGTTTTAGGACTCTAGAAAACATTTTTGTTTTAGTATAAAACAGTTTTTTTTATACATTCAAATAATTTAGAATTTCCTCAAATGCTACTACAGATGATGGAATAAAAAAATCTATAAAGTTAAGTTGCTTGAGTGTCTTTGAACAAGGATATGTGACAGCTATCTATTCTACATGGTAATATAAATAAATGTATGGCGCATATGCATAGTTAATTATATTTATGCATACTCAAAATATGAAAGAGTAGAAACCCAGAAAATATGAAATAATCTTAATATATACAAAATGCACAGTATATTGATACTAATAAAAATGCTTCCCATAACTTTGGAAAAGCACAATGAAATATTTTAGCAGAATATTACTGAGGTATTCATATTTGATTGAGTGCAATATGAATAATTTTTTGTGATTGACATTCTTGGTTTTCATATTTCAAACTGATAATGAAGTAAACTTTTCTGTGGTACAGTAACTGTAGACTTTTGTAAAGATCCATTTCTATTTATTAAATATATAAATTAGTTCTGTGAATTTTTCAATAATTTGCCATTTACAAGGACGAATACCATTTAATAAACTATTAATAGTATAAAATAATAATATGTGCTACCCACTTTTACACTATACACTTGTGACCATATCCTGTTTTAATTACAAAGTGTTTTTTGTATTTTAATAAATGAACTGTTCAGTTTAAGTTTGTATTTCCATGATAACATTTAACATTGATTTACTTAGTTTGCAAATATTGTTTTCAGTTACTGAAATAGTTTACATTGAGGATGATGATGATGATGTAAGTACCTGTCACATTGGATTTGACCAGTATTGGAATTGCAAGTGGTGGTAGACTAACCCACTTAGTCACAATCCCAATAAAAATCAGTCTTCTATTTTTGTTTGTTTATTTTATCCATAGCTTACAATTTATTATTTTATTCCTATCCCTCTTAAGGTGCCAGAACAAAGTAATAACTACAAAGTAAAAACTGGACTATAACCAACAATATTTTTAAATATTAAATACAAAAAATCAAAACAAAAGCTAATTAAAGAAACAGAAAAAAGAAATAGGCAAATTGAAATAAGTACTCCATAAATTCCTGGTTAAATAGGCATGTCATCAGCTCCCATCTGTAAGAAATTGCATGAGGTAGACTGAATATCTCTTAAGAAAAACAATTCATAACTGGGACTCTGCCACTGACAAAGTCCTATTCTTAGCTATCACATTGAGCTAACTATACCAGTAAGACATAAATAAGGCTACTTTTGCTTGGCTGAATCACGTGTATAGGTAGTCCTCAACTTATGAGCCCCAAATTTCTGTTGCTAAGCAAGACAGTTAAGTAGGTTTTGCCCCATTTTATGACCTTTCTTGTGACAGTTGCGAGGTGAATTACTACAGTTGTTAAGTTAGTAACATGGTTGATAAGGGAATCTGGCTTCCCCGTTAACTTTATCAGAAGGTCGCAAAAGGTGATCACATGACCCTAGGATACTGCAATTGTTATAACTGCCAAGGTCCAAATTTTGATCACATGGCAATGGGAATTCTTCAGCAGTCATAAGTTATTTTGTTCAGTGCTCTTGTAATTTAACAGCCACTAATGGTTATACAGTAAGTTGAGGACTACCTGTATTGGGGAAGGTGATCTTTTAAATAGCTGTTTTTTATCTCATCCATCAACTATATAATAAATACAGAATCCAGTAATTATTCATTACGTATCAGAAAGTTCAAAAGAAAATTGAGCTATTATGTTAATTTACTGGATGCATTTAATACAAAAGGAAATGAAGAAAATGAAAGAAACTGCTTTTATCTGAACTGTTTTTTCCAGAAGTTTAAAATATTAATATATTGCTTATATTAATATATGTTGCATACTCCTTTGATAAAATCTCTGAGGAATAATATAATTATCCTCCCCATTCAAGTTTATACATATAATAACTTGCATTTTTGTAATTTTTATTGACTTTATCACGGGTTTTTAGTATACTATTGGAACACATACACATAAACACACCTTGAAATTTTTTGCAATTATGAATTTATGGAGCTCTTTATAATCAGAGTTTAATTCAAGTCTGCCCTCCAGTGGTCCCAAAAAAATTTGCTTAGTGATATACAGAATTATAATTCTATTAAGGTGATAAGCTGACCAACATTACATTCTAAACATATTTGGTGTATACCGTATTACAGTTAGGAGATGTTAAAACTGTTTGAATTCCTATGTAGCAAGATTTCCAAATATTATAATTTAACTAGCTAATAGTAACTGATGAACATTCAAAATTCTCAACTGTAGTGAATATAAAAAGTCTACACACCTATTAAAATGGCAAGGGTTTGAGATGTAAAAACCAAACCAACTGAAATCTTCCAGAGGAAAAAAATAAAAATAAGAAACTTACAATAACATAGTTCCATACGTGTATACATCCCCTTATAAACAGAGATGTGACTGTTCAGAATTTAACTAATCACATTCAAACTGATGTTTAGTAGTAGTTAATACACACCTCCCTTCAATTAGTAACTAACCAAGCCATATAAAGTTCAGCTGTTCTGGTAGGATTTTTCTGACATTTACTCAGTAGGCTGGCTTGGTTGCTCAACAGCGAGATACTGGTGAAGCGGTCACAGCAATGCCTGCATTTTTTATGTTGCATGAGAAATGTATATCTTCCTTCCCCTGTCCTTACCACTTTCTATAGAGGGACGATTGAGAGCATCCTGTCATATTGCATTACAATCTGGTTTGGAAGTATTACTGCTTCAGACAAGAAGGTGGTGCAGAGAGTGGTGAGGATGGCAGAAAAGATTATTGGCAGTTAACTCCCTTTATCTAGGACAAAGCATATAAGAGTTGCATGAGCAGGGTCCATAGTATTGTCTGGGAAGCTACACATCGTCTTCACGATCTGTTTTCCTTGTTCCCTTCTGGGAGGAGGCTCCATGGTATCCAAAGCAGAACATCCGAATTCAGTCACAGTTTTGTTTCATATAGCACAGAAGGGTAACCTGTAGAGGGCTGTGCATAGGAGATGCCCTCACAATCTGACACATTTGAAGCACTTTTTCAAGGAAGAGTTATCAAAGGTTCCCAAGGCAAGACTGAATACTAATTATCATAAAATCAAAAGAAGCTTCAGCAAAGAATTAGTTTAAGGATATGCACACTTGTGCAACCATGTTATTGTATGTTTTTGTTATTTTCCTTCCTAAAAGTATTCAGTTTGTTTTTCAATTGAATTGTACAGCTTATATATTATGTTAAAGGTGGAAAAAAATCAGAAATGATTTTTCTTGGTCTGATTTTTTTATATCTCAAAAAATTTAATGGGTGTTTAGACTTTTTATATCCACTGTATGTTCTTTAATTTTAGGTAATATAACACATGAAAGAAATTGCATTTTGACGAACATACTGTATATAAGCAAACTTTATATACAAAGATTATATATTACACAATATAAAAGAATTTAAAGATAGCTATAATTGTCAGATAATGTTATTTAGCAATAATTAGAATTAGAAAAACATTTTTTTTGTTAAATTCAGGAAACAAAGAAAATGTGAGAAAAAAGCTAAAACTATCTCTGTCCTTATTTCCTAGGTTATAAGAGAGATGAAAGGGAAAATATTCAGGCTTTGAAAATTCTGTTATATAGCCAAAAGCAATAAAATATAGTTCTAGTCAAACTTGTCGAATCAACCAAGGAGCTCCTGCAATGAACAAGTTACTGCCGGACAAAGTCCCACTGTTTCTGTCCAGTGCTCCCCATGGGACTTTCCTACTCAAAGGGCTGACAGGCATATTCCCATAGGGATCTCACTAAAATTTGCATTATTTCTTTTTTTAGGTTTTTTTTTTCTTTTACATTAGCTGTTTACTTATGAAGTATGCGATTTCTCCTAAAAGAAAAACATTTTGAAAATGCCAACTGGGGCATCTTTAGCCACTCACTCTCTCTTAGTCTAATTTACCTCATAGAGTAATTGTTGTAAAGATAATACAAGGAGGGAGAGTATTGTGTGTGTTTGCTCCCTTATTTATACAAATAATAAAGACAGGGTATAAACGAACAAACCAAAATTCATGAATATTCAAAATTTGCTAAAGGAATAGTGTTTTTAATAAAAACACTTCTAATTTTATAGTTAAATAAAAGGTGCAGACAAATCCAGGGAAGGAGTGAAGATTCTTATTTTTTATGTATTTATTAAAACTAAAGTTTCAGTGTTTTGCTTTTGTTGTTCATTTGTGTTAGTTTTTGTGTTTGCATTTTAGGGGAAGTGAACATTTAAGATTACGCTAAAGGGATATTTATGCACATGGGTTTTTTCCCCCTAATCATGGTGCTGACGTTGATGCCTATTTGGTAAGCTAGTTTTTCTGAAAAGTCTGAGGATGTGGATGTTGTGTGGAAGTGTTCAGTGTCTCTGGTCAATTTGGTGGGTGGCCAACAATGTTTGTCCTAATTACCTGGCCAGCAGGAGAAACACAAAAGCAGCAGCAGGCAAAGCAGTGGCAGACGAACAAGTAGTGGAAGAGAACATGTAGATTTCTATCGATGTCTCCTTGAGTGGCAGAAGAACGAGACTGCATCAGGCAGTAGCTTCTCCATTGGAGAGGCTCCTTGTTGAATTAGTGGCAGGCAGCAGAGTTCAGAGGTGCTATGGATTAGCTGCCTTTGCTCCAGCTGATGGGTGATATGGAATGACTCCAGAAAACATAGCAGAATGGCAGAATGAGTGGCAATAGACTAGCACTTAGCCCATATTCTCCATTTATTCTTTGCTATTACAGAGGATATAATGACAAGCTGGGCAGAACAGGATGAGGACATGGCAATGCCTACAAGGTCCTGGCTGTTGGAGTCTCCAATGAGTGGAGGGCTCAGATGGCCAGGCAGCCTGCAGCAGTGGGCGCAAGAACAAGGCAACAGACCTGTGGGGGAGGGCTGTCTTGTGTCTTGCAGCTGCCATTCAAACAGCCACAAGGTAAAGCAGCCATTTTGGAGGATTTCCTTGTCTGAGAGGACATGGGATTGAAGTTGCTGGCACATGGATTCAGGCCATTTGTATGGGACATATGTTTATTACATACCTGATGGACATTGTGGTTTCTGATGGAACTTGAGATTTTTCCCAAAGCTCTGGCACACAATTTGATTGATGCTCTCATTACTCCTTGGAATGAAAAGGCAATGGGTTGCTGGACCAAATTTTGCCTGTGGGGATTCTGTGCACACGGATCTTGCAGAGTGTCATGGTTAACTGAACTACTTCAAGAGATGAAGTGACACCAGAGATGCCCAGAGCACTGATGGAGGAAGAAAATGAAGTTGACTGAGCAATGGTAAAAGCCTATATTAGGACTTAATTTGGGTGGCAAAGCTTACTTACTTCTCTATCCTTATTGCATCTGCAGATAGCTATCCAATGGCTTTGTTTTTGTTTCAGTAATCAGATTCCTCCTGTAGCAGCTCTTGCAGGGCTACAGTGAGGAATATTCTCAGTAACTGTCAGATAATCACTTGACTTCACTCAAAGTTTGATTCTGGCTGGGTAGATCCTTGGAAGTGACACCTATATCTGAGCACTATTATTTGGGAAAAGTTTGAGCCAGTTGATCCCAAAGAAATGGACAAGGTTCTCGTGAACCAGACTGAAAAGGTTGTCTCTCAGGAGGCCTTAACCAAACATGAGGGGCATGGGTCCAGAAAGCAATTCCCTCATGTTTGGTTAAGGCGTTCTGGGAGATCAGACAACACTTTTCTGTCTGGGTTCAGACCAGGTATAACACTGAAATGATATTGTTCATGCTTGTTGAATACCTTTGGAGGTCTCGAAATAGGGTGATGCAATTGTGCTGGCTATCCTTGATCTTTTAGCAGCTTTTGATACTATCAATCTTAGTATCCTTCTGAACTGACTCCAGAGGTTGGAAGTGGAAGGCATCATTTTGTCGTGGTTCTCCTCCTTTCTCTGTGACTGCTTCCAGTTGGTATTGATGGGCAAGGAGGGATTGAACCCTATGTCCCTGGAACATTGGGTTCCTCAGGACTTTAATCTCTCCTCTTATACATGAAATTGCTGTGTGAGGTTATCCAACAGTACAGAGTGTGATATGATCAGTACCCTGATGATACGATCAGTATCCTGATGATACCAAGTTAGACATTTCTATCTCTGGCTGGGCAAGTGATACTACTGCAGTCTATCCAAGTGCCTGAAAGCGATAAAGGGTCTGGATAGAGATGAACCAACTTTGGATCAACTCTGGCAAGATGGAGTGGCTCTGAGGTTTTGACCCCCAGGATCTGGTGATTTTGTCATCTTTGACTCTGGCAGGGTTGTTCTCTTGAGGACCCAACTGGCAGTTCTTCTGGATTCTCAGTTCCTGTTTAATGAGCAGTCACACTTTAGTCATTTAGTCAATTTTGATTACTCCAATGCACTTTACAAGGGGCTTAAAGACCACTCGAAAGTTACAAGTGATCCAGAATGCAGCAGTATTGGATCTTCACTGGTTTGCCCATGTTATACTTCTGTTGTGTGAGTTGCACTGAGTCCCACTTTTCTTCAGGGTGGATGCATGGAGGGGAGAGGAAATTATTTAGCAGGCTGCAGGAACAGAAATCCTGCAGCCCTATAAAAAGTTTTCCCCTCCCCTCTGGGCACAGAGGACAAATCCTTCAAGAATTTACATTTTATGACAGCTGGAAGTGATTTATGTGCTGTAAAACACCCTTTCCCAGATCTGAATGTAACTTTGAATGATCAAATGACCAATTGATATTCAAGGACTACCTGTATTCTTATAAATATCATGGGATTTTAAAAAAATAAATTATGTATCTGTTTACACATGAAAAATCAGAGATGACTTTAGCAGCTCACATTAAACCAATAAGATAACAAAAATCTGGATAACCACATTCAGGTTTTGGTAACTATTATTGCTGTCGAGATTTTTGCAGTCCAGATGTCTTAGTCTTAATCTATGCATCTCTGGCTGAATCTATTCTACTTGCTGAAGCTTGTTCAGTTACGTGAGAGCTTCAGTTATGCTCTCCGGGCATTAGTGCAAATTGCTTTACAAAAAATAAAATGTTTTATTTAGACATTCAGACAATATTTTAGAAACAATTATTAGATCATTCTACTGTGACATACTTCTATTTAGGAACAATATTCAGGCTGTCAGTTTTTTGGACTTTATTTTATTTTATTACAAGTAATGAATGAATTTTGCACAAATGAAACATTCTAAATAAGCTTTGACATTCAGGATAAATTAATACTGTATACTGCACAAAACTAATTATTGCTTTAAATTAAGGGAAACAATTGTTTCTATATCCATAAAGTATTAATCTATTTACCTTACTGCCTATGAAACCATATTCAAAATTCTGAAACAAATCAAATTTTCTTTCATTTAAGAGCCATATCATACAAGTCCACATTATTTCCTTCCTTGAAAAATATGGCATTAAAAAAATAAATAACTTGATTTTTAATGGCATGCATTTTTAGATTGTATAGTCAATAGTAAAGGTTTGCTTGTAGACATCCTATAAATTCTAGGCCAGGCAATTTATTCTGAATCAGGGACAACAACTTACTCTTCAGCAAGCCAGCAAAAAATGATATTGTTAGCAATGTTCACTGAACAAGGCCATTTTTTTTCTTGACAATCTATATAGCTTTTTTTAAAGGTAAAATTATATGTCAAGACTATAAATTTGAAGAAGTAAACTACCATCTTTCCCATCTTTAACCCACAATCCAATGGCTGCAGCCTAATGACGGTATAATCCTCACGTAACAATGCAACCAGGATCACTAGAACTGTTGTTGCTAAGTGATGCCATCATATGATATTTTGCCTAATGACCACTTTGCTGAGTAGTAGACATTGTAGTCCCAACTAAAATCATTAAGTGAGCACTATGTGTATTGATTTTCAATAACTGTTAATAACACTTTTAACAGAATAACTATTCTTAGTACATAATATTTTTCAAAAGTACTAAATAAACTGTATACAACATATTTAGCATGTTTTTTCATTTTTACCAAAGCTATGCAACTGAAGTTTCTAGAAAGCAAATTGCTAACAAATAAGTACATTTACAATAAACATAGATATAAATATATATCTACTTCAGCTAACATTCTGGCCTCAGAAAATCCTTTAAGCCATCATATATGGTGCACACTATTCTACAAAAATAGTTCTTTCAGTTTACTAATTTCATCTTTGGCCAGATATTCCATTTATAGTAATATAGAATAAAAATACTGAATATATTTCAAATATATTTACGTAATATACCTTTGTTTGAAGTGACATTATGTCATAAATCTTTTATTTTCATTACAGAATCTACAAGAAAATAAAACAAACAAAATTGAAGGTCAACATTTTACAAGAAATCTTAATGCATGATAGCAAGTTTATGATCCTTAGGAAGTCAATTTCTTAAACTGATCTTAACAAAATTTCAGATTTTTGTGCAAGAATTGATTTCAAGAAACAATTACTATTTTATTATTATAATAAAACTGTATCAGAGTCATTATGAATTTTATTTCTTTATGCACTTTTACACAAACTTACTTGCCCTCTAATCTCCAAGGGAGATTTTACACGATTTCTTTCAAATGGAAGTTATGCAAGTAGCCCAAAATAGTAAACCAATCATCCTGAAGCATACCCTGCTTTTAGCAAATGCCAAAAATTAAGCTATGACTATCAGACAGTAAACAACTTGACATTTGTACATATACATTATCATGGAACAAGCCAGATTAATACCAGTCTTTCCTCCTTTCTTTTTTCCCTTCCTCTTTTCTGTTTTCAAATTAGCATGCAATTTATGCTGCTAACCATTCACGTTAGATTGTGTTGAAACTGTGCACACCAGGACTATTGTGCTGTAAATAATACCTTTCTGCTATAGTTAAATGTTATCCTTCCAGCAAGGCAATCTTTTCGGTAGTTTGCTTGTTCTTTGTAAGTTAGACCTTTTTCTTGTGCTACAGCTGTCATGTGGGAGGCTGTCTGAAAAGCTTCCAAATTAACCAAGCTCTAGAAGCATGCATTAATAGCGAGGCAAAGTATTCCGTCTGTGAATGTAGGATTTATATGTTTTATGGATCCTTCAATCTTTTAAGATATTCGTTAATTTAAACACAGTTGTTCAAATGTGAATCACTCTTCCAATCTTGTGTTTAATTGGTATTCAGTGGAATGGGCACCAAGTCATTGTCTCAAAATAAATAGCAAGTTACACAAGCCTCATACTGTAGTTCCTGATTGTTACCCTATTTCCTAGGCTACATCCTTAAGTACACTTTCAACATAGAAGATAATTATTAATTTGCACCCAAATTTATCTATGATTTCCTATTCCTTGGAAGAAAGTGAAAAGTTTATCAAGCCATCCTTGTTGGGAAAGAAATAGACAAGGAACTAATAGACAGCTGTACATCATCATTCTATGCTTCTCCTACTATCTCCTCTTTTCACTGAGCAAAACCTACACAAGAAAAAATTGAATAGTGTTACAGTCTCTGTATATTTTTAAGTTTGTGTGTATCTGTATTTGATACTCAGATTATAGTTGAAGTGCAATTTGATTTGATTAAATACTGTCAAGTCAGTGTTTTCAAGGATTATCTGCTTCCAATTGCGCCCTTCTGGCATGTCAACAGTTGCCTCTGTATTTGAGTTCATCTAGCTTGCTGCTGCTTGTCATCGTCTTCTCTTTCCTTCCAAAGCCTTCCATTGTGGACTAGAGACTTTGCATAATGAGCACACCACGTCTCATATTATGTCAGTATATTATAATTTGAGTCTGAACAGTTAGGCCTTGAGTGAGAAATTTAATTTGTTTTACGATCCATTTGTTTATTTTTCTGCCTATCTATATCTCAAACGTTTTCTCCAACTCAAAAATTTAAAAGCATCAATATTTTTTCTATATTACTCTTTGAGAATCCAGCTTTTACATCCAGAAGGTAACCATATAGCTTGCTAATGCATCCGTATACTGTATTTATTAATTTCTGTTAGAAAAGTACTAGGAAGTAACCAAAAAAGGCCACTCTTTCTGCACCAGCTGTGAATCACTTTAAGAATTCAAATCACAAGGAATAAATAGTAAAAAGACAAAAGAGATGCAATATAAATGCTAAATGATAACTTCCTGCCACTATAATTAAGTGCCAAATATGTACAGTAGACATTAATTATTTTCTCACATGATCTAATATGGTTGGAACTACGGGCTTTTCCCTGCTGCTAAGTTAAAATTTAGCTTACTGTTACTTTACAACTAAAACTATTTTTATTTGTGCCTATTTAGATTTTCAAAAACTTTGGTGTAGTGGGCAGTGTTTCTCAACCTTGACAATTTTAAGGCATGTGGACTTCAACTCCCAGAATTCCACAGCCAGCATTGCTGGCTGTGGAATTCTGGGAGTTGAAGTCCACATGCCTTAAAATTGTCAAGGTTGAGAAACACTGGGTTAAGGTGTTGGCACTGGTGGGATTCAAATATGTGAATAACTGGTTCTCTGTGTGGATGCCGCTTCCAGAAGTCCATTCAGGGCCTGGGCAACAAAAAATTAGCTACCGGTTCTGCCAAAGTGGTGCGAAGCACTGGGTGAATCCCACCACTGGGTGTTGGCCTAGAAACCACAACACTGTAAGTTCAGGCATCTCTTAGGCATGAAAGCCAGCTGGATCACTGTAGGTCAGCCAATCTCTCTCAGCCCAACCCACCTCAGAGGGTTCTTGTCATGGGGAAAAAGGAAGCAGAAGTATTAGGCCTCTTTGCCACTTTGAATTGTACATAAAAAAGCAGAATGATAATATAATGTTAAAGGGCTTTGGGACTTTAAAATTTAAACAGACAGGCACCTGCCATATAACACTCCAGACTTAACAATTTTGATAAGAAAAAGTTTGGATAGTGGATGTGGCAGTACCTGGAGACAGCAGAATAGAAGAAAAGGAACTGGAGAAAGTAACAGAATCGAAGATCTGCAAATAGAAATAGGATGACTATGGCAAAAGAAAACAGGTAATACTAATAGTCATAAGTGCTTTGGGTGCAATCTTGTTGACTACCACTGACATTGATAAATTCACCATCAGTTAATTGCCAAAGGCAGCTTTACTCACAACAGTTTATATACTGCTATGTTATTTCTAACAATATCAAACATCCACATCTGCCTCTCCCAGGTCCTTGGGAAGTAAGACTCAAAAATGCCAAATCCATTCTGAACATCTGGTTGATTGTGTGAAAATAATACGCACCATTAAACAACAACATGCCTTATCCCAGCTTCTTGAGAAGAAATTCATAGGTGGATAAAAATGCCAAATCATAACCCTAACCCTAAACATATGGCTGATTGTGCAATGAACCATAATAATGGAAAATTGAAATTGAAATTGAAATCTAGTCATGGAAAAACACGGTAATAATTTTTAGCATAGATATAGCAATGGATTGGCCTTAGAGAAATATGTTGCAGCAGGAATATACAGTAATGGAATTGAAATGCCAAATGGCCAAACCATCAGGAGCTATCAGGATGATGCCTACAAGTATCTAGCCATACAGTTGGATAACATCTAGCATGGACAAGTTAAACTCAATTGGTAAAGAATACTAACAAAGAGTGAATTGTTAAAGACAAAATTGAATGGTAGAAACACTATCAAACGCATCAATCACCTAGTCCATATCTATGATATGATATATTGCTGAAATTATTAACTGGGCAGCTTGTACTGAAAACAGACTATTCTAAACTAATGGCTATTTAATATACATTACATTCCCATAGTGTTATTAATAGATTATATCTGCCCTACAGAAAGGAAGGCAGAGATTTACTTCAGGTCAACCAAACTGTCAAAGAAGAAAAGCACACATTGGTTGATTATGAAAAAGACAATCAAGAACAATTACTGATGCAAGTTAAAAGCAGAACTTACTGAATGTAAGGAAACAAAATATGAATATTGAAATAATGTAATAAATGTAATAAAACCATTAACAAGAATCTTAGCTAGGAAAAGCATTACATGATCAATGTATACAAAAGGTAGAAGGAAAAGTAAATAAAGATAAAACTTGGTGATGACTACAACTGGAAAACTAAAAAAAGAAATTAGTCTGATTTTGGCCGCAGAAGAGCAAGCTATTTAAACTAATGCAATCAAGATGAGATTGGAAAAATTATCAAATGATTCAAAGTGCAGATTGTGTAAAATAACGGAGGAAACAGTAGATCATATACTTCACTTGTGCAAGAAGATTGCATAAACAGATTCTAAACAACATAATACCCCAAAGTGATTCCATAGAACATCTATAAAATTTATCATGTGCCAGTAATAGAAAATAGGTGGGAACATGTAATTAAGAAAGTTGTCAAAATGAGCAAGTTAAAATATTATGATATTTCTGAATATGAGCTAATAGACTGACATCTTAGTGTATAACACAATGATTTAACTATGGTTGAAAAAAACAAAGCATGAATAATTGATGTGGCAATCCTAGGAAATTGAAGACTAGAAGACAAATAATTGGAGCATATCATAAAGTATCAAGATCTGAAAATCGATCTTGAAATATTATGGCATAATATTGACAAAATTTTCACTTATCAATTACAAAAGACCACACTGCTTGCATCCGCACATATATTATGCTGATATATTAGACCAGACGATTGGCCTATATTTGGCCCATGGGGATTCCCCAAAGACGTCAAGGGGCTTTCCCCCACCACCCTGGCCCCATCTAGCCCAGCAGCCCCCAAGGCGTGTGCACAGGAGACTGAGCTTGCGGAGGCCGATGGCATCTGGCAGCAGGGGCTGCATAGCCCACTATGAATACTGGGCTGACCCTCTAGCAGCAGCGCTGCGGCAGCACCGGCAGTATGTGGAGTCCGGGGGGGGGATGTGATGTGGACTGCCAGACATGCCTACTCTGTCATCTCTTTTTGGTTAGAGAGCAGGTTGCCACTGGTCATCTCCTCAACCCCCTCGCAGGTCTTGCCCTTGGCCCATGGGTGGAGCACATTCCCCTCGTGCACCTTGGTACCCACTGCAGCCATGGCCGCCAGATGCTCATGCAGGTCCAGTAGGCCGCTGCCCAGAGCTGCAGGCCTGCCCAGCACAAAGGCGGGGAAGCGGTCGGCCAGGAAGCCCCGAATAGAGGTGGTAGAGCACGCCCAGGGCCAGCAGGTAAAAGGCCACCCCGAGCGGGGAAAGCTGGATCCACTTCGGCACCATGGCCGCCCAGACCCAGCAGAGATGGGGGGAGGCACGCAATCCTGGCTGGGACTGGGTGGCCATGGCACTGATAGGGATCCTGCTTTCCCCACTTGGGGTGGCCTTTTTCTTGCTTGGCGTGCTCTTCCACCTCTACTTGAGCTTCCTAACCGACCGCTTCGCCTTTGTGCTGGGCAGGCCTGCCACTCTGGGTGACGGTGGCAGCCTAATTGACCTGCGTGAGCTGCTGGTAGCTGCGGCCTGAGGCGGGACCAAGGTGCGTCAGGTGCACAAGAGGAACAAGCTCCACATGCGGGCCAAGGGCAAAATCTGCAAGGGGGCCAAGCAGATGACCAGCAGTGGCCTGCTCTCCAACCACAAGCAAAAACAGATGGGATGGAGTAGGCATGTCTGGCAATCTGCATCACGTGCCTCCCTACTCCCCTCCCCATTGCTGGAGGGCTGGCCGGTATTTGCAGAGGGCTGCAGAGCCCCAGAGTGCGCCAGTCAAGGGTCCGGGAGGCTGTGGCTGCTGACGGACACCGTTGGCCCCCATGTGCTCGCTGCCCTCTGTGTGCGGGGGTTGATGGTGTCAGGCAGCAGCTGCCCTGGCCCCTGCCTCACCTTGCCTTGCCCCACAGGAATGGCACCCCATCCTACCCCCTACCTCTCCTCACCCCACAGGACAAGCCTCCTGCCTACTGCCCTACCTGCCACAGATCCCCTGAATCTCCCACAACCCTGCCAGGCCTCCACAGGCATCCCCCCGAGCAACACAGAAGTGGTCATGCCCAGTCAGCTGTGACCACTGCAGCCATGCCCACCCAATGGGTCATGCCCCCTGCCCCCCCTGAGGGCACCACAATGCTGATGCAGCCTCAATGAAATTGAGTTTGATACCCCTGCATTAGGATATCCAAGGTTCTTGGGAAGAACTCTGTATGAGATTTGTATGAAGGCCAACATCAGTTAAAGAACTGACAACTGAGATTTCACAATGTGTGCATATAATATTAATAGTTTAGGAACATCTAACAAAATTATAATAATTCCTTTTGTCTAATTCTTTTTTCTTAAGGAAGACTGGTGATAGATTTTTTTTTAAGCCTGTGGGATTTTGTTTTTCAATACAAGTGCTAAGTCAGGATTGTTTTTCTAATACAACCCTAAGTCAGGCAAGCCAGCTTGGTGACTGGGTCAGTCTCTCTCAGCCCAACCCACCTCACAAGATTGTTGTTGTAGGTAAACCAGGAAAAAGGAGTACCAGTACTCTCGCTGCCTTGAATTACTTTTAAAGTAATAAAGGTGGGTTAGAATTTTTGTTAATAATAATAAAAAGGTGGAATAAAAAAAATCTGATAGTAATAATAATACCCAAATTGGATGCCCTAGAAATGTTCCGATCAACTTTCAAAATTGTGTTTTTTAGGCTATCATAAACGTCAGTTGCACGTGTTAAAGCAGGCACAAAGCAGGAAGGGGATCCATACTCATCGAGCGTGACATCAGGTTTGACGACACTTCCTGTAGAGAGGAAACGTGAAATCCCAGCTAGACCGTCACGTGGATTGACGATTGATAACGCGGTGTAGGTTTGGGGGGCGGGGCGGATCTCCATGGCAGCGCGCGACTGTTTACTGTCAGTTACTGTTAAGAGGCAGCGTCACTAATCCCGTAGAATGAGCATATACCAGGAAAGGACTCTTTTTACCTATTGTAACGTTCGCTCCTGATTCATGACTTCAACCGATACTACCGTGACCTTTCTTCCTCACTTTTGTCGGCCACACTCTTCAGTTTTCTCTGCCTCGATGATGCTTTTTCCTCCCGACAGCCTTCAGTCCGCAGCGGCCTGGAAGCAAAGCCCCGCCCCGAAGGCTGCCCCGCATGCGCCCTAGGGCCAGCCGCGTAAGGTTGAGCCTTTCCAACCCCCGCCATCGCGCTCCGGCTGCTTTTGAGTTGCTGCTGCTGCCGCCGCTCCCGCCGCCATGCCGAAGCTGAGCAAGGAAGCTAAGCAGCGACTGCAGCACCTCTTCAAAGGTGGCCAGTTCGCCATCCGTTGGGGCTTCATCCCTGTCGTACTTTATTTAGGTCAGTGCGGAGGGGGAGAGTCGGGTCTTAAAGCGACGGCCTGCCAAAAATGACGAGGACTTCCGTTACCTGCCTTCGCGGAGTCTTCTGTAGTCGTTCCTTGCACAACAAGGAATGGGGAGTTGAGATCAAAAAGAGCCTCCCCTCCCCGATGGTTGTTGTTGCTCGTTTTGAATTAAATTTGCAAGATCGGTAACCCAGTCGGTTTCCTCCTAGGCAGCATCCGTTAAAAGAGGCTTTTTAAAAAGAGGAGGTCAACTTTGGGGTATCAAAAGAATAGGAACTAAATGGTAACAGGTCCTGTTTATTCTCTTTTTGAAATAGAATGGAAACAACCAGCCAAATGATCAACAGAATTAGTGCCCAGCAAAGAAATTAAAAAAAAACCACCCCAGTTCTGATGCTTACACTTTATAGGATGTCTCCCTGTAAAAAGAAAATAAATCAAAGAATGAAAGGATTTGCAGCACATCTCTGAAGTATTGACTTTTTGTTGCCAGGAATTAATAGTTTGAGGTAATATCCTGCCTTAAATCAGATGTGCCGTCCCAAGGTCCTATTACTGCAGAATAGGTACTTTTGGAGTAGATACTTATTTGAAGTTGATGCAGAAAGGGTGATTTCTTTTTTGTACATCTCTCCCAACTCTGGACACTTCTAGATTGACTTGAATTATTTTTCCCATATTTATTTTACTATATACGAAATGCCTATTGATCAAAATTGCAGTGAAATATGCAATCGGTCATTCATAAGATTTATGTCCATGTGTCCATATATATGACACATATATATAAAATAACATTTTCCATAAAGGCTTTCATCTTGTTTTAAGATCAAGGCTGTTGAGAAAGATGGCACATGGAGATAATTCTTTTCATATACAGCTCTGCCCACAATCTTTCAAGAAATTGCTCATTGGTGGAATGGAGTACAATTATGATAGACAGCTAATGGGTAAACTAAAGTATGTCTTGCAGATATTCTGCAAGAAAAAAAATGATATAAATAAACTTTTGCATATTTGTAAAACACACAGAGTAAATTCAGAGTTTGAACTTGCTTTCTGGAAAAATAATTGAAAGATAGAATGGCCTCTTTTGGATCTCACTTTAGGCCCTAATTTCTATGGTTTGTTGGAATATTTTTTCATAAGCTGTGACTGGGTTCACATAATATGCTAAGCTATACTGTAATGTAGTTTTGTGAAATCAATAGAACATTCAATAAACTGCAGTCTAGTGTATGAACAAATCCAGCCAAACAAAATATCTGAATGAAATACTTGCAAAATATGAGTGAGAGAGGAGTGAAAGATGGAAGATATATGAATGATGATAAGACAATCAAAAGAGTTGATTTTTTGTGCTATTGCCCTTAAATGAAGCATAACTGTGCATATAGAATAGGGGTAGGCAACCTTGGCTCTTTTATGACTCGTAGACTTCAACTCCCAGAATTCCTGATCTGGCATGGCTCAGCATGGAAACCTCTCCCTTTCCCCTCAGCATGGCTGGCTCAGGAATTCTGGGAGTTGAAGTCCACGAATCATAAAAGAGCCAAGGTTGCCTACCCCTGATATAGAATATACTTTAATGGAATTGTACAGTCAATTTGATTCACCTAATATAACAGATATTGAAAAATCAAAGCTTATTTGTGCAAGATGGTCTGTAAATGGTTACAGAACACTACTGTTCTAACTTAATATTGCTTCCAGTTCTAGCTACAGTCCATTCTTGTTATGTGTGGTAGTTATGTTCTATGAAATAAATAATGGAGTGAAAATTGGGACAAATATAGGACTGAGAATATTACTATGAATGCTGAGACAAGAAAGTAGAGCATTTCCTAGTTTGACCTTAGCTGGGAACATGCCCACTGGGTGAATCAGATTTTTTTTACCAGTCTGAACATGTCTGTAAATGACTGTGAAAGCATTGCAAGTATTGATTTAATGAGGATTGTTGGTAAGATTTTCTAATATGACACATCCTATAGTCTTTTTGCTGTAATAAATAAACATTCCATTTTTAGTTGGAAAAATGAAATCATCTATATTTAGTACTTTACACGTAAATTAAGCTTACATCTGCTTCTGTGAGATAAGTGGGAATCAGGAGGGAGAGAAGATTAAGACAAAAAATACAATGAATGAATTATTGCATAGTTAATTTAATTGTACACTTATATAATAAATTTATAATTCATATTTAAACAATAGGTATATTCTGAGTAGCAGTTTTACAATATACTTTAAAGATACTATATTATTGAATCTGGATACAGAATTATGAAAAACTATTTTAATTCAGGCTTGAGAAAAAGATAATCGGTATTAGCACATTACTAGAATATTCAAACTTTTCAAATAGGAGAATAAAGCAAATAAATTTAATAAATAAAGTATTTTTATTTTGTTGGCAGTACATCTGCTCTTTGTAGTCTCACTAAGTGAATAACTTGCTAGTATTTAAGACAGCTCTTTTCTGCTTCTGCTAAGCAGCAAATAAAATCATATTAGTAAATATAGAATCTGTTGGTGGTTATAGATACAATGCCAAGAAATAGACCAACTAGATATCAGGTCTTTTAATTTCTTCCTTCCCAGATAGATATGTATTGTTAAGCATATAATAGGAGGATTCATACAACACAGTAAGCCACAATATTTGCATTTAATTTTCTCTGAGAGTCACATGAACCAATCTGTTGAAGATTACAAGTTATGTTTTGTGATTTGGATTTTATTTTATTTTTTTCAGTTGACTGGTTCCATATAGCATTTGTAATTCATAGTATTGAACCATCACTTGCTAAATACAATAAGTGAATCTAATCTACAGAAGGTGGGAAAAGTACAAGATATTAATGCATTCAATATATCACATGTAGTATTTACAGGGCTTTTTTTCAGCCGGAACGCGGCGGAACCGCGTTCCGGCACCTTTTTCCGGGCCGGCCGCACCGGAAATAGCCCCTCCCACACCGGAAATAGCCCCTCCCAAATTTTACTTGCATTCCTGTTCTCTAAAGGGGCGGTCCTAGGGTTTGATGAGGGCGTGGCCAGGTTTGAGTTCCGCCACCTTTTCTC